CTTCCTTCCTTCCTTCCTTCCCTTCCTTCCTTCCTTCCTTCCCTCCCTCCCTCCCTCCCTCCTTCCTTTCCTCCTTTCTTTCTTTCATAGTTGTCATACCTGGCACTGGACACAGTCATGGGATCCTTGCAGGCAAGATAACAGAACAGGAGACAATTATGGAACAATTTTATACTGTATTCTTAGTAGATGAAATGATTATGCACAAAAATACATAATCATTTATGGATTATAATGAATTAATAGGATATGGTTTGAAGGTTTCCAATTGGTCATAATATCAGCAACAACAACAATACCACTCAGTACTTATCATATGTAAGGTTCTGTGCAGTGGTTTCCATCCATCATCTTCTCCAACATCTGGAGAAACAAAAATTGTTATCCGTATTGGAGAGGAGCTGGGATTCAGTCACAGAAAATTTGGTTTCAGAACCTATATGACCTATATGTTTAACTATTATACTACAGTATTTTTTTTTGTCCTTTAGTTCATGTTATGTCCAACTTATTTTTTCTTTTTATTGAAAGAAAGATTTATTTTTTCATTTTTGAGGAGCAAACTCTAGGCCTTATGCATAGTAGGCAGATGCTCTACCACTGAGGTTCATCCTCAACCCAATTTATTTATCTTGAGTCATCACTCAAAAGGCATATTCTGCTAAGGCTACAAAGCTGAGAGAATGGTAGAAAACCAAGGCAGGAAAACAAAAATTTATTGAGCATACACATAAGGTATTATACTGCCCAGAACCACTTTGCAGTGTAGACAGGATTATCCTTATTTTTACTGTTAAGCAAGTTATGACTCAAAGAGATCACATGCCACATTCAAAGTCACTGGGCTACTCAACAACACTAAATTTCAAATGAAGATCTGCCTGACTCCTAAATCTTGTTCTTTTGACTGGCTATTGAAGATCAAATGTAAAATATAATATTTAGTAGGGAGGATGTAAAATCCTGCAGTTAACTGTAAAATATCAATTGTCTAAGATTTGAGAGACCTAGTTTGTTAACATTTCAAGCCCAGATCTCGAGATCTCAGCTGATTGTGAAGCATCGTGAGTCTGCAGTGTCGCTGTCATGATGCACATACAGTCTCAGGTGGCAGCCCAGAGGACAGGTCCTAGACAGGAGAGAGAATGCTCCTACTACTTTGTATACTGATCATACCAAATTGGGACAACTGTGGTTCATTCTGAGTGCCACATTTTAAAAGAGACTTTGGCAGACTACGCTACATATATCCAGAGGAAAGCAGCCAGCCAGTAACAAAAACATACATGCATACATACATGGATATAAAAATTGGATTATTTTATAAAAGTGGAACAAATGGGAGGACTCCCAGAGGCAGCTGAAAATCATCTTCAATTAGCTAAATGGCTGCTATGTGGAAGAAATTCTTCTTACATTGTTTACGGCACCAGTGGACAAAGAACTGTGGTTAGAGGAAGGCAGATTTGGGTCAATAAATGAAAAACTAAAAAGGACTGCTCATCTTGCATGCCTTTTGGGGTACTGAAATGCTGAGCCTGCCACTTTAGACATAGTAGGTGCTCAACAAATACATGTTGAACTCAATTGTATGTGTTATTGGGCAAACAATCAAGAGGTTGTCGTGTGGGCAGAAGCAAGGTGGTCACCTGTTGTACCCAGGACATTGATCCCCATATCTGGCCCGGCTCCACTTTCTTCCCACCAATACCTGTTCTTCTCCCAGCCATGCTTCAAAGGAAGTTTCACTGATGACTAACTCTCAAGAAATTATGTCCTCCCATCTTCGAACAATGGAGCCTTATTGTCTCCCTCAGCTTGCCTAAAGGAGAGCTGTCACCCACTTCCTCCTCGAAGGTCATTTCTCCTGCTACCTGCAGACCCCACTGTCCTGTTGCTATGCCACCTCTCTGAGGGCTCATTTCCAGTCCCCTCCACTGGCTCCTCCTGCAACAGCTGACGGCTGCTTTTATTGGGGGTTCTGTGCTTGGCACTCTTGGCACTGTTTGCTGTCCCATCCATTGGGAGCACTCATCTGATCTATGCATTCATCCAAACCTCTTTGCTGTCTCCAGAGCTCCCTGTTCCTCATGGTCACTGGGGATCATAAGGTCACTGCAAGCTTAACACACCCGTCATCTTCCCCTTTGCACTTGCTCGCCTTAGTTTACTTGATGTCGCTGCCTTTCAAGCATGGGATGTCTCCCCACCTCTCAAGCCTCTGTCTAATCAATAACTCTGTCCTCAGTGTCACTTTGAAATCTCTCTTAGATTCATCACTCCTTTTGATCCCACTGCTACTATGGTGATTCACACCTTAATCCTGACTTTAGACCATTACAGTGGCCTTCTGATTGGCTTTCCTGATTCCCTTCTCCCCTTACTCTAGCTCAGCCTTGCTCTTGCCACTCAAGTTTTTATATCTATTTACTTATTTATATTTATTTCTTTATTTTGCAATGCAGGGGATTAAAGCCAGGGCCTCAGATATGCTAGACAAGCATTCTACCACTGAGCTACATCCTAAGACTTATTTTCCTCTTTAAAATACAAATCTTTTTTTTTTTT